TTCTTTTAAGAACCATTGTAATCTCATCGATGTTGTTATACAGGACTCTTCTTCCATCGCGTCTCCACCCTTCCTTCTCTACCCTTCGTCGCTAATTGGAGAAGTTGGTTTTTGTCACGAGACCTTCTCTTTTTTACTTTTTCTCTCTTTCTCCCTTTCCACTTTTTACTTATTTTTGTCTTTTTTCTACCTCGACAGTTTGTAATTATTTCGGTGTAATAATTTCGTAAAGTAAAATCGGATCGGCTTGTTTCACGAACAAATACGCGAACTGAGTTTCTCTATGCCTCGACGATTATTATTACTATTGTTATTATTGTTATTATTGTTATATTTATTTGTATGATTCTCGGAATTGTACAAACAACAAACGCATCTCTCCTTTCCATATGAATTAAATGTTTCCTGATTCGTAGAAGCAGATTTTCCGGCGAAAAATTCGTAATCGGTCTCTATTTCTCTCTGCAAAAACGTTGATTCGGAGTTATTAAAGCGAAAAACGCACGAATTTCGCTTGTGCTCTTTATACACGTGAACCAGATCCGTTGGCCCTTTACGCAAAAATATGTTCGTTTGTCGATTTTCCAACTGCGGCTTGGTAAGAATATAATATTCTACAATAGCGACGGCTCGTTCGTCTGGTGCCACTAATATTTGCACGATTTATTTTTAAATGCCGCACACCCGCTTAAGTGTACATTTCTATATAGCTTAGCTAGCTATTTATACAGGGATAAATGGTATGGTCGGTTGTGTAGCGAAACTTTTAATACTCTAGAGGAGATATTTTATATTTGTTGCGTTTCGTAAAAAGGCCAACGTACGCTACGCGTGTTACCATACAATATATTATAAAATTCATATTGGAAAAAGGACGGAACGACGTATTTTCGAGTGCGTATCAAAATGCGATGGGGAAACGTTTAAACTTCGGTTCAATTGACAAACCTTTATTTTCTTCTTTTTTATTTTTTTGTTAGCTTTTAAAACGTGATTTTACAATTGATCCTAATCGAACGCGGATATAATGGATGATCGATCGCAAATAATTTTCTAGCGAGCTTTTAGAGGGAGGAAAAAGGACAAAGAAAAGGAAAGAAAAAATCAAGATATTCTTATCTCGAGTATTTTCCATTAAAATAGTCGCGTCAAACAAAAACAAAAAAATTAAAAGAAAAAGAAGCTTTGCCCTCTTACGCGTCGTTCTTTAATAAAAGTATACAAAATATGAAAACAAGAAATAACAATATTCCATAATTCCCGCGAACTACTACAACGTGCTACGACGATTTAACTTTTCGTACGAAAAATACAGTGTCGAAATGTGAAATCTCGTGAAATGTGTCTCCGTCTGCTACGTTCGTTCGTTTCTCACCTATTGTATTTTATATGCCATCAGCTCGAGCAGTCGATCCGCGGCCAAAATTCGTGCTATGCCATTCTCTTTGCCTCTTTTAACGTAAAATGAGATAGTATATATACTGTATGGTATCAAGGGGAGAGAGGGCTGGGAAAGGGAGACAGAAGAGCGAAGTAATTAGGTCAGAGCGTTTGTAACAAGGTGTCCCGTGGAAAGCGATACCGACGGATTTATTCGTGAGATTTTACAAGCTCACACATTTACAACGTTATTCGATTCTAATAAATAAAAAAAAAAAAAAAACGAAAGGTTTTGCAGTAAACCCTTTCTATTTTATTAATAGTAACATTGACATTTTCACACCATAGGAAAATAAGTGAAAGGGGAAAAAGGGGAATGGAAATTGGTTTCGACAAACGACCCACCGCGAAAATCTCAGCCGTCAGTTCTGGCTTGCTGCGAGTCGAGAAACCGCTTCGTCTGTCTGTCTGTCTGTCTGCCTGTCTTTTTTTTCTCCCTTTTTCGCGTCAGGGATCTTTAGAGAAAATTGCAATTCCTCGTAAGTGACGTCTCAGTCCGTTGGATCGCCTTATTCTCTCTCTCTCTCTCTCCCTTCTTTTCTTCCTTCCTTCCTTCCACATCTTTTAGATGATTAAAATTGGGCTCCGGCGAGCTTCGAGGACGAAAGGTGATTGCAAAGTAGCTGTTTGGATCTAACTTCAAAGAGGGAGAGAGAGGGAGAGAGAGCAACCGATTCGTGTACTTATTCGCGAATAAAAAAAAAGAGAAAAAAAAAAGAAAAAAAATATCGTCTAGCTCTCGTTACTTTGGAGTTTATCGTTCCGATCCACGATTTGGCCAAAGGAAGAAAATTCGTGGTTCGTTTGAGATACGCTAGCTCTATGTAGCTACCTACTATCGTCTTCGTATAGTACTTTACCCTCTTATTCCTTCTCCTTCTCCTTCTTTTCCTTATATAGCTCTCCGATTATTCCTCTGTTAAAAGATGGAAACGAAATGGTTTTCCCTTTGTCGTCGAAGGATGAGATAAAAGGAAGAAAGAACATTGACTAGTACTTTGGTCGATTCTCTTTCGATATCGCTCTTAGATATCGATGATCCACTTTCGAAACGAGGCTAAAATCCTGATAAACTGTTCCAAGTAATAGTAGTAGTAGTTTCAACAAGAATATGAACAAAATATCATAGCTGATATCGTCATCTTTGACAATGGCTAAATGAAAATGACGAATAGCTTAACCAACAATACTGATGACAACAAAAATCAAAGAAAAATATAAATGCGTTTCGATGTGTTCTAGAATCAAAGGATGAAGAATTCGCAAAGAATGATTGTCATCCCATTGTCGATAATATTTCTCTTTGAAAACGCACCGATCTGTATATATGAGTTATACTGAAGAGCAAGAGAAAAAAGGGGCGAGGGGGAGTCACGTTATGCCAGTACTACAGTTTTATTTTTGTATACCTTGTCACAATGTTTCCTGTGATAATGTGCTATACTCGTGGAAGATTTTAGATTTTTCTTTGCTTTCTAATCCTCTCTCTCTCTCTCTCTCTCTCTCTCTTTCATACCCAATTCATTCCTTTTCTTATTTTCTTCCATCCACGATCGAGTCACATTTTTGCGAGCTTTTTCGTGTTCCCTGACGAAACTTACTTCTCGGGCCACAAAACTCGATTCATTGAATTTCATGTCGATTCTCGTACGTTCTTCCTTTCTTTCTATATATGTGGTACGTAAAGAAGAAGAAGAAGAAGAAGAAAACTACTTTCTCGTCGACTTTTGTGCATAATCAATTGTGGAGATCCACGTACGCACGCAGGCACGCACGTAAGCACGTACTGCTCGTACAAGTTTTACAAAGTGCAAGTCAACTTTAGAAATGTTTTTTCACGATCTGTACACTGTGTGGAAGAAATGGACATAAAGTCTAAATCGTTCCCTATGGGTTTTACGAAATATCTCTACGTTTTCGTCTACTTTGGTATCTGAACGTATAGTCACCGGTCTGATCACGTATTGAGCATAACTACTTGACAATTTCTACTTCTCGTATCTCTTTTCTAAGAATTCGAATGAACCGAATTTATGTTTCTTTATTATTTTGAAAAAAGGAAAATGATCATATTGATTCGTACCACATTGTTTGTTTGCTCTATCTATCTTTTCATTATTTTTTATTTTCGAACGACGTCCGAATAATTATTTCTGAACAAGTAAAAAGAAACAAAGGAAATACAGAGAAAAAAGAAAAAAAAAAAGAGAAGAACAACTCATCGTTTTGCCTTTCCATAAGGGTGATTAAGCTGTACCAAAAATACCATGAATTCAAAGGATTCTCGTTTCGATACTTTTCTGACGATGTGATCACGTATCGGTTTTTTTACTACTAAAAATTGATCTCCTCTCCTTTTCGTTATTTCTTCGTTCGGAAATTTCGTCGACTTTTTATCGATTAATAAAACATTATAATTATGTCATTTGGTCTTCCATTAATTTCGTTTCGTTCTCGTGTAAAATATAGCTCAGGTCTGAGCCAAAATTGAACAGATAAAGTTTGATTTTCGGATCGAAGGGCCATAGCCAAAAAAGAGTTAGTGATGGTTGGTTTCCTTTCGGCGACTGTCGCCGTCGTCGTGGTCGTCGACGTCGTCTAACCATTTTTGGCTCTCGATACCACTCAGAGTACCGTAAAAAATGTACGAGTTATAGCGATCTCCGGTATAAAGTGGTCGTCGGTGGTGGTCGAGCATAGCAACGCCGGCATATTGGAAACCATCCAATAACCCAGTTGGTCCTATACGAGCACCACCAACGTGTATCGATACCGAGAAATAGTAAGGGACGATGGTAACGAATATAAAGAAAGTAACGGTCTACTCGGAGCTCGGAAAAATCTTGAGAAACCAAGAGAAACAAGGAATCGAAGGAAACGGGGAAAGGTCGAGTCTATAGGGAGTGGTAAAAAGGCAAGAAACCTAGGGCTTTTCCTTTGATCGGTCTTTGTGCCTTTGCGGTTTAATGCACGCGAGCATGCGCTTTACCAACGAGGGATGATGGGGGTTGGGTAGTAGTGAACGGTTACCCGTGACTTAATATCGGCAAACTCTTTCACTCCACTTGCCTTTCTTTCTCTTCGGCGTTGCTCTGATCCCATGTGAAATCGATTTGTTTGTATTTGAATTTTTATACTGGAGCCCTTTTTTCCTCTCTCTTTTTTTTTCTTTTTTCTATTTCATTATTTAGAGAAACGAAACACCGGCGGTGGCGGCGGCGGCGGCGGCTCGCAATAGAAATTTGAATTTTATCCGAGCGTGTATCTTCTCTGGAGCGTAGGATTTTAATGAGCCTATAAACGAGAACCTTATGAAAATTCGATAGGAGCGTGCATTGTGTGTATCCTCCAGATAATCGATGAACTTTTCTGCATCACGTTGTTTCTTATGCAATGGAAAACTTTATCGATCGTAATCGCGTGGAATTATTATACGCTTTCCCATAAACTATTGAATTCGCATCGTAAAATTGTTAAACAAAGGTTATTGAGTAGGATCAAGAATATTGTTGTGCGTGTGTGTATATATGTAGTATATATATGTATTTACGTTCACTTACCCTCCAACGTGCCGCTGTATACGTGGGAAGGATCGAAGGCAATATTTCGGTCGTTCGATCCTTCGAAAATTGTATCTTCGTGGAAGAGGCTGGTGTCTCTTACGAGTCTCATCTTAAACTCTCTGAAATAAAAATAAACATAGGAAATATATTCTAGACCGAAAAAAACAGTTATGATAGAGCTTCTTTTTTTTATGACATAATATTTTGTCTCTTTTCAAATTTTATTTATTCAAGAAACAAATATTATTTCATCTTAGAGTTTAATAGATAACACTTGTCTCTTTCCATCTTTTTGGTAGAAATTTGCTCATCCATTTTACTGGAATTACAATTTTGTAATCTTCCCTGTTAATTGATAATAAACATTATTAAGTAATCATTTGTAAGACATGTTACTCGATCAAGAAAGAAAGGTGGGTCGTAGTATAGGAAGATAGATAACTCGTAGGTAACATAAAGGAAGCACGAAGACGAAGAGATAGTCAATTAATCAATATTGGCGACCCTGTAATCCGACTATCTATGAACCGTGCGGGCAGCCACACGAGCGTATCACTATGCTAGCAACATAATTAATGCGATATCGTTCACTCGAAATACCCACAGATATATACGTATACATATATATATATATATACATATAGAAGAAGATACACATCTATTTGTGAAAGAGAACACTGTTGTTAGCAACTATTTGTTTCGATAATTTCGAATAATTCGTTCATCCAACGAGATGACAACTTATTAATAAAATATTCAACCATACGTATTATATTATTCTTCGTCCAACATTTATTGGTCAATTAAATATCAATTTAAAAATGGATTAGTAAAGATGACTGGGACGACGTTGAAACAATTATTGACTGTTCGTCCTTCTCTATCTTTCTCCCTGTTTCTCTTTCTCTCTAGCTGTGTACTTCTATGCGTTGCCTATGTCGAAACTAGTAGACGCGTAATGAAATTATCGGTAATGACCTCGGGCTAGGCCGTATGAACGATGTTTTCGGTTAATTGTCGGTGAAAGGGCTGGCTTTGGTTCGGCGGCTTCCCTTCTCATCAAATTACTGCCACGCACGAGAAACACATTCTCGTTTCCATTCATCGTACGAACACGGAATCTCTATGTTTCCTGCATTTCATATTTCAACAATGTATAGTTATGTTTCTCTACAATTTTCGGGAAAAAAATTCTTCACATTTTTATGTAATCCTACACTTTCTCATATATTTTTTGAAATCTCATTAAAATGGAGCAATCGTTAAACTAATCAATGGCCCAAGTTGAAAAAGTCAAGCGACAATATGCAGGGTTAGTAGTAGTAATAGTAGTAGATGGGTGTCTTTTCTCCGAGGGAGAAAAAAACCCTGCGTTGTTGACTACGGAGAAACGGTAAAAAATGACCTCTTTGGAAATGTTGGCTATGTGTGAGAGAAGGTTTCGCAGAAGAGTGACTCGTATAAAAAGATGATATTAAACTTTTTTTTATAAAGACAATGTTACGTGTAGAAGCAATTAAATTTATTGCATCAAAATCAGCATCTTTTTGTTGTTGTTGAAAGATGGACCAAAGTAATTGAATATAATGGTGAATATTAGATTTGATATTGCTACTGCACCAAATATCTGCACAGAAAGTATTTTTATTAGTCAAACTCATGAAAATGAGAAATAATCACGTAGATGATTTTCATATTAGATTTTGAGAAACTGAAACTGTCGTCGTTGTGTGTATACCTGAAACAGAACTCCGTGCATTCACAGAAAATATCGTCTCGTTAATTAGGAAGTACACGGACTTTCCCGTAGGCGATATCGAAGTCGCCCGCAGCTATGACACTACTACTCGCAATTAATTACCGCAGAATCGCTATGTAATTACGAGCTCGATGATGGATTCGCGGCTTTCGCATTGCTATTATTATTATTATTATTTTATTATTATTATTTCATTTATTATCATTATCATTCGGGTTCCGCAAGATCTTTGATTTGATGGATTGTACATTCGCACAAGAATATTAGTAAATACTTAACCAACTATACTTAACCAACACATAGATTTATCATGGTTTAGTACTTTTCTGACTATCCTAAAAGTTCCAATCATCGCTATCTTTTATTATCGTTATTATTCGCGTTTTCTGAACAAAAAAATGATAATCTCAGTTTTATTGAAATCGATAAAACGATACTCGCACAACAACCCTAACCCAAGTGGAGTAGGTATTATTTGGGGTCTGTTCTATTGTAGTACTTTTATTATCATTATTATACTCTAGGCCCATAAGGGGTTTATTATTATGATTATGATTATGATTATTATTACTATTATCATCATTGCTACATCTAGATTTATATTACTTTTTGTTCCTTTTTCTTTTTTTTTTCTTCTTCTTCTTCTTTTATCTCTTTCGATATCATATTAAGCTGATATTTATCTACACGATTGTCTCTCAGATAGAAAGAAAATACTCATTAATCGTAGAAAATTATTTAAATTTCGTTACACCCGCGATTTTTTTAATTCCCTTTATTCATAAGCCCTCTTTCTTTCTTCGATACTTTGTAATTACGCTTGACGAACGAATAAATATTTAATCCGGGGGATAACAATGTAGAGTTATCTTGTTTGAGTTGGATAGACGGAACAAGTACTGAGAAGAGAAAGCTCTTTCAGTATACTCTCTCTCTCTCTCTCTTGCTCTCATATTCGATTTAATCTCACTTTAATCTCTCTTTTGTATCGGACGACGCTACTTCATATCAATTTTTTCTACGCCTTGTTAATGTCAACGTTGACTGAAAGAAATGAGAGACGTACTTGATTCCTACATGTTTCTCTCTCTTTATAACATTGCTTTATTTATACATATGTCAGTGTCAAATTGTACAATTTAGTTAAGTATCCTGACAAATCCAGGCTTTATTCGTAAGCTTATAATGAGAATTTTGTTATACATTTTAGGCTAGCCATTGAAAGGATTTAAAAAGAATGGTTGGAAATATTTTGAATTTTTTAGCACTCTGTTTAACTAAACTTTACTGTCTGCTCGTAATGAAAGGGTTGCTTTCGGGAATTGAAAGTAGTCATTTCCAATGGCTACGAAGGGTTTTACAGTGAATACAAGAGAAGGATCTTGACGAATAAAGGAGAGATGAAGAAACGTGTGTGTGTGGGTTGATGCGTGAGTATAAAGTAGAGGTTGTAGGAGTACTGGAGTCGAAGAGAAAGGGAAGGGAAGGGAAGGGAAGGGAAGGGAGTTAATGTTCGTTTTTCTTGGTTAGTCCTCTCTCAGGAGGATATCGATTTTCTTCCGACGTTGAAGCGTCGAATGTGGCCGAGGAAACTCCCTTCAGAGCCGTCTGCTTCTTCGCTAATTGTTCGTTACGCCGACACGATTCTTTATTAGAGGTAGTGTGTCTTCATCGGACAAATGGCGTCTGGACATGTTAGGTGTTAAGTCTTATTCTTCCTCTCTTCTTTTACTCCTTCTTCTTTCGTTAAGTCTCCACGAGGGAATTTAAAGGCTTTGTGTTCTTATTCTCTTTCTGTCTCTCTGCTCTTTTTCTTTATTTCTTTTTCTTTTTCTCTCTTTCTTTCTTTTCATTTCGTTAAAGTCGATCATGACGACTCGATAAATTTGTTCACTCGAACGATGTCTATAAAATGAACGAACGAACGAACGAACGAACGAATGAATGAATGAACGACGATTTTCACTTTCCCCATTCCATCCCCTATCTTTTTTACCCCTCCCCATTATATTTCTCCCCCCCCCCATATCTTTTCTCTCTCTCGTCGAAAAAGAACATCGAATCTCTCGTCTGTCTCTCTGTGAACGTCGACAAAAATTCGCACTCGTCCCGTTCCGGTGTTCGTTCACATAAATCCAATTCCCGTTCGACGAGCATCGAGACAAATTCGAGTGCGTGCGTGCGTGCGTGCGTGCGAGAGTGCGTGCGAGAGTGCGTGCATACGTGCGTGCAGTGAACGTGCATGAGTGCGTACGTGCATATACGTGTGATCGAACTAACGATGGAACAAGAGCGATGAAAATCTACGTGAAAGAGAGAGAGAGAGAGAGAGAGAAAGAGAGTATGTACGAATACGTACGTACGTACATTTTGTCATCGAGAACAATCATCATCGACGATTGAAACACACCGGTTGTATGTTGTACCTTTTTTTCTTTTATATTCCCCCTTCCTTCTTTCTATTTTTCTTTTTTTTTCTCCTTTTTTTTTTTTTGTTCACACCCAACGTAGTATTGGTTTAATGAAAATGAATGGATCCGAGTAGCGGCTTGAAAAAAAGTGTGATTTTTTCTCCACATAGGATTCTTTTATTTTTTTTTTATTTTTTATAAAAAACTATTCACGTTTTCTCTCTCTCTCTCTTTCTCTATTTTGCTTTTTGTTAGTTCACATCAGAGGTTCCCAAACTTATTTGACCCATCAAACCTTTTTAACCCTTTTTTTCGTATGCAATTTGTAATCGTAAAATATCAAGCTTTAAATACGAATTAATTAAGAATTTTATAAAGAACAAGTTGCATGCTACATTTGTTAAAAAAAAAAAAAAAAAGAAAACCATGAAATTAAAATCGATATGATCATCTTCTAGACGAACGTGACTATTTCCCTTGTGAAAATGTACTTTCTTTGGTAAGAAAAAAAAAAAAATAGTGAAAAAATTCAGTGACAAGAGTATTACCACCTCCCCCTGGATCGTTTCCAGCGAGCCTCAAGGCGCTGATTTAAATCTTCGAAGGGATTTCGTTGATATATCTGATCGATTTTCTCGCGTGAATTTGAGAAATGAATTTCTCGTGCGTCACCCAATTTTTTATTGGCCTATTTCTGTCTCTTTTCTTCCTTTTTTTTTATGCTCGCGAATACGATTAGTGGACTTGAACGTTAAAACGTGGTGTCGTGAAATGAGATTAGCCGCAGGAGTAATGCTTTACGGTCGCGACAACATCGTTTAGGGTTTGTAATACAGTCAGGAAAGAGGTAACTAAAGGTCTACACGAATCTAGACGTGTTCTTTAACAAATTGCCATCGTTCTTTTAATCGATCATTAGTAGTTTCTTAAATAAATCGTTTGTTTGCAAAATTAACAGACCTTTTTTTTTTTTTATCGACTTCAATTTATTTTATAGTTAATATATTCGTGAATTATATTCTATATCGACCTTAACATACACAAAGCATAAGTACACACACACACACACGCTATTCTTCTTGGCTTCGTAATCGAATGGAATTGATTTTCAAGGCCTCTCAAGGGTCCAACAATAGATCACTATGGTAGACGTGTCTCTCATTGATCAGAGAGATAGATAGATAAATGGATAAAAATAATCTCTCTCTCTCTCTCTGTCTTTCTCTCACCTGAAATATCTCGTCATATTTAGCCGTCGTGATAATCTCTTAGCCCGTTCTTGAATGACTAGAATAATCTCTCGACTAATTACTTGGAGTTTATCGTTAGATATATTTTTCGGATTAATTACTATCCGACAGTAGTTATTGAAAAATTCGATGTAATATTATCGCATCGTTTACTTTGAAAGTCCTACGATGAGAAAAGGAAGAGAGATAGAAAACAAGCGATTATTATCGGAAGGAACTCATTAGCGCGAGATCCAATTAAATCGCATCATCGGTAATAACGATAACGAGAAATGGCCCTGAGGTATTAGAATCCAGTCTTTTATATCAACCAAATCGAAAGCCGTTCATCGGCGTCTCGAACGTTGCAAATTTCGTGCCAATAGTTTTCTTTTTAGGGAGAGACTGAAAAAATATCACTCGCGTCGTTATATTTTTTCAAAACGTGAAATAACATTCTGTTTTAATTCCTCGCACCGACGTGGACCCGAGCCAAATTTTGTTATGTTATAAAAAGAAAAAACTAACTATAAATATAAATAACAGAATGATCGAACGATCCCTTTCCATTGTTAAAGGGATGAAAAATTCATTGTGGTTTTTTTAATAACGTTTATCTATTGGAATAAAAAAAATAAGCAGACGAGAGAGGGAGAGAGAGAGAGAGGGAGCAATCGAAGCGAATTCGTGGCAAGTTTGACGATTAATTACCTTCCGAGTCAGGCACCCTCTCTCTCATCCCTTTTCAAATGGGGAGTCACACGACGTGATTGACATTCGCGCGAGCGAACTTAACATACGCCGTGGTAATTCGTTCGAAAGAGTGAGAGCAATTCATTTTGAAGGATCGATACACGAAGGACACTCACAATACATACGCCATTCGCTTTTTTTCCTGCCGAAGGTCGACATTTTTCTTCCCTTTTTCCACTTAAAATACGTGTCCCACCAAGGCACCTCTCGTATTTCAACGATAATTTACTACTCGAAAAGAACTCTTCTCTTTCTCTTTCTCTCTCTTTCTCTCTCTTTCTCTCTCTCTCGTTTTCTTCATCTTTTTTCTTCTTTCTTTCTTTCTTTATTTCTTTCTTTCTTTCTTTCTTTCCTTCTATTTTCTATCCCTAAGGTACCGTATTTCGACTTCGATGACTTCGCTCGACCTCATTTATACATCTCGCACTGTACTTGTACACACACGCACACACGTTTACGCAAAAAGGGCTACGAAGGTTGACGTCTTTCCTCCTGAATTCAGATTGCTTAGGTCGACGTACAAAAGAGAAATGTCGCCTTGAGGGTCGTCCTCGAAATTCCTTTTCTATCGATCGTGATTTCCTGAGAAAATTAGAATACGAGAAAAGCCTAAGAAATGGGTCTATTTATTTTGGGATAGAAATCCTATGGACAAGAAAATATAATAAATAATGATATCGAATAATAATAGTTATTGGTTGAATTTATTGAGAGAATTAAATATGAAAAGATAATAAAATATAAATGATTATTATTTAGATGAAAATTTATTTAAGGACAATAAAGATTCCTGGTGGATGTAGAAAAACGTCGAGATTTAAACTTCAATAAGAAGAACAAGAGCAATGCTGTTAGTTATCTTTTTCCGAGTCAAGAATTGAAGCAGTTTGAAAGTCCTGCTATCAACAGACAATTCACGTTACTTTCGTAATGTTCTAGGGAAAGAAGTGTTGAACGCCATAGAAGTTAACCCGGATCTAATGCTTATGGAACTTGTATATGAAGAAAGTAGTGGCAGTTATTCCAACAACACGGAGAGAACTTTAAGACCGCAAACGAATAGCTGGATAAAACATTGTTCGTGCCTTCATTCATGCTTCTTTTACCGAAACACTGATATTTATGATGATTAGTGTTATCATAGAATTTGTCTTTATAATTGGATAACAATTACTATCAAGTTATAAACATAAATAATGATATTAAACTATGAATTAGGGAAGAAAAATATAAACATATGGGTAAAATTATCCGAAGCAGCAGAATACATGGCGCTGACATGGAGCATTGGTCCGTAAGTGACGTGTATGCAATTTCCGCGAATGTAACGTAGAGATTTATAGGTTTCGTGTCAATGGCACAACACAACATAAACGCAGCTCTATCGACATATTGCGATGCGTTGGAGTCAGCTCGTCTCGCAAGGCCGTCGGGATGATAGCAATAGCGACAGATCGAGAGGACGGAAGCTTATCGATGCCTTGTCAAACGTTGATCAAAACGGCTGTGTTAGCACGGATTAACGTTCATATCGTGGTTACTCGTTACACCTCCAGGCCATTCGTCGTTCATGATGAACACTTTCATGCTTGCGATTGTCCATCGGATTTCGTTACAGTTACCAATATTTAACGCATTCTCTCTTTCTCTCTCTGTTAGTATTTGCTGCGAGCTATGCATTCTGTCGGTTATATATAAATTCGATCTTTCGTTTGATAAATCGTTGACAAATTTTTTGACCAGTTTCCAAATATTATCGGTTCGATTTTTGCTAATAGTCAACTCGTTGTTTGACAGTTCAAATGATGACTCTTGTTAGATTTTAACAATTTATTATATAAACGTTACGATCATTGTTAAATTATATATCTGTCATTTTAATTGATCGCTACAAAATTGATTGTACCATTAAGTTATATATCAAAGTTTCATTTATCTTTTCTGTTGACTTTAACTTGTATGTCGAATATATACTAATTTCATTTGATCGTTTTCTGTTTCAGGTGCAGCTGACAAAAGATTGACAAGGATAATACCCATTGAAAAAGTTATAGTATGGGAAGAAAAATTCAGCTTTGATGTCATGAAATTTGGTTGGATGAGTATCGTCACGTTTGCTCCTAAAGGTAGACGAAAAATCTTATGGTAGACTTGTGAAAGACGCACGAAACGTGCGAGGAACGTTGAATCACGACGTACTGTTCATTTGACCTATACATACATAGACACAGCGTATATGTGCATAGAAAAGACTAGTTCGGTAAAACACAGAGGACACGTTTTACGAACCTGTCAAGAGCACGAAGACGTAGGTTCAACGTTGCGTCCTTTGACCGACTGGAAGTTGAAGTATCTCGACGAGTTCTTGCTCGATGTTCCCTCAGCGCCGCTGTGTCGTACCAAGCTGGACTGTAGTGTCTAATGTAGGAGTCTCTCGTGATGCTGGCTGAAAGTACCAAATTTAGGTGAGTTTAATTGCATACTTTCAATATGTTCGATCAAAAATACATTGAAATAGTTATGAAAATGCAATGGTAATTTTGGAATAAGTTGCAAAGGAAGAACGGATTTGGCATCGTCGTAGTTTGACTAAAAAAGGAGTGAGTAGGAGGCTCGATATCGAGGAATCTGAAAGCGTAGATATAAATGCAAACTGTCGTCGGCGTAATTTACTTTTATTAGCCGATAAATTTTCAAACCTTAGCGGTAGGAAGAGGAAAGTTAGAGGGAAAGGTAGAGGAAAGTAGAAGAACGACGACGATGGTGGCTGCGATTACGAGCGAAGGCCAATCTTCATATGCAAATCCGGCATAAGCGTAACGACTCTTCCAACGTGGTGCTGCTGGCGCTGTGATGGCGACGTACCAGAAGCCAGAAGCACAACCCTACGGGTGGTCCAAACGCGTTATCGCCTTGATAACAATTTTATTACAACGTCGGATCTTTCGATGTGGAAGGAACCAACCAAAGGAGCTTATTTCCCTCTCTCCCTCCCTCCGCCTTTCCTTTTTCCGGAACTTTGCAGACAATTTTTCAAAGTCACTCAAGAGCCGTGCATGTTCTTGCCACGTCACAGATAAGACACGTTACCTTCCTAGCCTTCTCTCTTCTTCGACTTTTCTTCTTTCCCTATAAAACGTCTATTTGTATGTAGGTATGTATATAAGAATACGAAAAGAAAAGAGAAAGAGAAAGAGAGAGAGAGAGAGAGAGAGAGAGAGAGAGAGAGAGAGAGAGAATTACCATCGCGTGTTGAAGATCTTAGGATAAGGTTGTTCTCCTCACTCTTGGATACTCGAATTAGCATCGGTCTGACGATAGGTAGGTGTCGTTGGCTATACATCGTGTTGCCTATGCTCTCTCTTAGCCAAGCTTTTACCATAGAATAATTAAGGAGCGAAGGCTTTAGTACATTGCACGCGTAACTCGTTACTCAGATAACGGCAACATTTCGGTCTTATCGCGACACTCCTTTTCTCTTTCTCTGTCTTACAATTAAAATCCTATGTTGAAAAAATAAGAAGAAGAAGAAGAAGAAGAAGAAGAAGTAATAGTAGTAGTAAAAATACTTTTTTTTTCACACATCTACTTTTCGTTGGTACGACGTGACGTTGGATAGAAAACGACGGATGAAAGTATAGAGACGAAGTAACGAACTTCGTGGCAGAAGTTACTGTCTGAACGAAGAAGACGTTACGGAATTTCTGAACAGGCAGTTCAATGGACAAGAAGCTTCTCTTTCACCCTGTCTAGTTCACTAGGTAAAACGTTGTTCCAGTCTTCCATCGAGAGAGAGAGAGAGAGACCACATTCTTACTCCATAAAGAGAGAGAGAAAGAAAGCTAGAAGAGAAACTGACAATGAGACTGGAATGTCACTTCATGGAAAAAGTTTCCTTTCAAAAAGAATGAAAGAAAGTAAGAAAAATAAAGAAGTGGAAGAAGAAGAAGAAGAAGAAGAAGAAGAAGAAGAAGAAGAACATTCGTGTAGCGGATAACTGTAACCTATATTACTCACATTTATTTTTTATTCGTCTCATATTTTTCATCAGACTTTTAACATTTCTACCTTTCATAACCATTAACCCTTAAAAGTTATCACGATAAAAAATGCCCACGACAATGTTATCACAGATGAAATTTCATTAAAGTATTTGATCTTTTATTTTGAAAATAAATACGAGAGAGAGAGAGAACATTTTTTATTATCATTCGATATTTGATGAAAATAATGGAAAAATTCATTTTTACAACGATTATATGAATGGCATCGAGATTGTCAGGGCAAATAAATTGATCACCCGCGATATAATAAATTTATGATATTTCGTTCAATGTCTTTTATCTTTACAGGGATAAAATTTCATCGGAAGGCTTTAAAAAAAATCGTCAAAGCTTCGATATGAATTTTGAACATCAATTTTCCTATATCGATGAAAAATTGATGAAAATTATTCTTAGTAAATGCACACCTGATCAAAAGGATAAATTTATTATTCTAAATATTTAATAAATCAAATGTGAATATAAAATCTGTAATTCAGTACTGCAGGGATATCATTTTAACAATATTCTTTCTCTCGTCAAAATAATTAATAAGGTTTATTAGTAAAAAAAAAAAAAAAAAATGTTAAGTATAAAAAAAATGATACAGTTGACACCATCGCGTTTCACTCTTCCGTAACAACGACCTTTTTCGTGTTCTCTGTCTATCCTTCTCTCTCTCTTTCTCTCTCTCTCTCTCTCTCTTGTTATCTCTTTGTTGCTTTTAATCTGCTGATAAAAACTCACGACAGGACGGGAAAACGCGCGACTGCTGTTCGCAGTAACGGCTAGCCAGATATTTTTTTTTTCATTTTTTTTTTTTTTTTTCATTCTACCCGTCTGAAGAGCTACTATGGCGGTATAAGCTGCCATCGAAAATAAAGATCGTTCTTGATTGCCAAGCGTTATCGTTGGCATTGTCGTTACCGTTACCGTTATTGTTCCCGAATTACACGTACACACGTCGAAATTCCATTAATGGCTGTTACGAGCCTCGGCCTATCTCTCTGCGTTTAAACATTTTTCTACTTTTTTTTGTTCTTTTTTTTTTTTTTCGCTAGAAAACTTTCCGTCCCATTTGCAAATATCTTTTTTTTTTCTCGCTAAACTTCATCCATTGTTCAATTTTGTTTGAAAACGATCAGAAAAAAAAAACAATGTAGCTTTTCTCTATCGTTTATAATTAAAGTTTTCGGACTATCAGAATAATATAAAGGAAAATGAAGGATCGATTCTATCTTTTGCACGCAGTCACTGGTAATCTATTTTCACATATCGATATTGGATACATCAAATTGTCTAGCCCGTTCCTAGAGTAATTACCAGAGAGATTAAAATGGGTACTGCGAGTGGTGGCTCGATCGACGATCGAACGCAATTATAACGAGAGAGATAGAGAGTGAACGAGAGAAAACAAGATGAATAGAGAGAAGGGAGGTGCGGGGATGGGTCATACACACATACACGCAGACAGCATACATACATATACGCTAGTCATTGCCGTCAAGCACGGTAAGAGGATGAAAAATGGTTTGATAGATACTTCAGCTACGAACAATGGGGTAATGCCATCCAGTATCCGGGTCACGCGCGTGTAGCTACGCGCGAACATGACGGCGACACGCTCTCGTCAATTCCCTCGATCCATTGCCATCCCAATCGCCATAGCAATCGCCATCCCAATCGCCATAGCAATCGCCATCCCAATCGCCATAGCAATCGCCATACCAATCGCCATACCAATCGCCATAGCAATCCCCATCGCCGTCATAACCAAACGTCGATGACATTTACCCTTTACGAACCTACTAGCGTGCACATTTCTTTTCTTTTCTTCTATCTATCCGACAATAGGGAATATAATGGGGAATATAATGGGGAACGTATTACCATTAACGAGTAAGTATAGCTATAAGGTAATCTTTTTTTTGTTCAATATTAAATTATAGTTAAGAAAAATTTACAGAAACTTCTTTTGCTTTGCCAAACTTTTTACGAATCTATGCTAAGAATTTAGAGAAACAATATATTTCTTCTTTCGCTTTTTAGTTGAAAGTTTTACAACAAGTTGATATTGCCGGAGGAAATTGTGAAATTTTCTACCCCGAGAGTTTATGAAAATTCTTCGCTTTTTTTTCTCTCTCTCTTTTTTTCTTGTTTTTTGCGCCGTTAAATTAAGAAAGATAATTTATTTGTAGATTACGATTCAGGTAGTTCCTGCAATATCATCGAGCATCTATTATACGTGGATACGACAGGGAGCGTTTAGTAAGATCAAAGGATGGAGGAATATTTAGATTAGGCTTCGAAAAGACGTTGGTTCGATTATCGAAGAGAATGAAAAAGAGAAAGAGAGTGAGAGAGAGGGAGAGCGAAATGGTTGATGGCCAAGTTCCAAGTGATGTCACCAGCAGGGAAAAGAGTTAAAATTGTTGGATATTGACGCGAGAAATTGAACAATGAAAGCGATATTCCGTGTCCGTTCCGCACGTGAATATGACACGTTGATGATAGCTGGTCGGGCTGTATGCCATTCGAGCTAACCGAACGAGATCGATCCATTTGAAATTACCGATGAGAGTTCCGTCGATACAGATAACAAATAATACTCGATCCTATCTTGACTGAACATACATTGATCATTGGTCTAGAAGATGAACGTTCCAAACCACATTGTTGCGGCCCGAGAAAAAGGGGAACTACCATTAAACTACCTAAACGATCCTTATCGTTCTATATTCTTCGAATGGTATTCGATTCGCAACATCATAGTTTTTTTTTTGTTTTGTTTATTCTTTTCATTTTATTTTCCGGAGAAAGGAAAAAGCGTCAGAATTTCAGCGTTCAGAACTTTCCAACGAGAGCAGTAGTAGTAGTAGTAGTAGTAGTAATAGTAGGGGCTGCGTACCTCTCGATCGTTTAATTTATTATCGCCTTCGACAAGGGGATGGGGGTGGGGAGGGGAGGTGGGAACTAGGTTGGGCTAAAGATTTACATCGTAATTAATTTTATTATGCAAAAAAGCCCCTTCTAAGCTCGTTGCGATTTTTGCATGATATTAACAACGGCAAGAAGAGATCTCTCGTCGTCGACCCTTTGAAATTAAATTAGAAAGAAGTCTGGAGGTAAGGAAAGAGAGAGACAGAGAGAGGGAGAGATAGGATAAAAAAAGAAGAAGCACGAACAACAACGTTTCTTAATAAAATTCGGTCGGTGATTCGATCGCACGCAGAATGAATTCACGCGTGTTGGGTGGGGGTTCCAATTTGTATATATGGACGTATGAAATCTGGCATTTCGTAGAATTTGGAGAAAAAGCGACTGACCTCGGTCTCTGACAGGTAGTGGTATATCGATTAAATAAAATTTTTATGAATTATTCATCGAGCCACAGATCGACGTT